GTAATGATGCTAAAGCTCTGCTTTGAAATAATTAATAAAATAAAATATAATTAATAAATTATATTTTCAAATAGAAAACAGTTATTTTAATGTTAATGTTTTTGCTGTATTTTGGATCAAATAAATGCAGGCTTGGTGAGCAGAAGAGAATTCTTTAAAAATCATTAAAAATCTTACTGTTCAAAAACTGTTGACTGGTATGTTAGCCTATAGTTTGAAGTAAAACATATTAATATTAATAAGGAGAGTCTGAGATTTATTTGACAGTGATTTCACATTTCTTGTTTGTATGAAGGCTAAATACCAATAAAAGGTGAACATTTATTTATTTGCGCAATTTTTTTCCTAAAAAATTATATAGTTTTATAGGAGTAGGTTTCATAGAGTTGGCAAATGAATTTTTCATAAGTTTGTAGGTACAGACATCTGTTGTGGCCATTTTTATGAGGCTTTTTTAATAGTGTTCATATCGATATCGGAATTATATCGTATCGACCGAAATTAAGAAATATATCGTGATATAAATTTTGGCCATATCGTCCAGCCCTATATGTACATACTTCTTTTGGTTGCCCCTTTTGTTTTTCCCATCATGGCCAGCTCCATTCCTGAGGTTCTTGCCACAGCTGTCCAAATACCAGAGCTCTCTGTCTCCACCTCCACAATGACAGCGTTCACATTCTCTGCCACCATGCAAGCCACAGCTACTAAAGAGGTTCCTGCTATGGCTGCTCCACACCTGTCATAGGCACCCCAACGGTGTTGTTGCCTCCTCAGAGGTTCCTGTAAAGGCCCGAGCCAGAGCCAGCTCCAAAAGCCATCTTAGTCCACAGCCACCCTGGGCTCTAAGCTCCCAGTGATCCCCATATAGGCCCAGAGGTATCTGTCATGGCCACCTGGTTCCAGATATTCCCGTCATTGCTTCTTCAGAAGTTCCTGTGATATGGTTCAACCACAGCCAGAAACCAAAGCATCTCAGTTCAAAAGCTCCCACCAAGCTCCCTTCATCTGTCATGGCCTCCTGGTCCCAGAAGTGCCAGTTAGTGCCCCCTCCATGTAACAGAATTTTATGTTACAGCTGCCAAAGAGGGTCCTGTAATGGGCACCATGGTCTCCAAACTCCTTGCAATGTTAGATCGGTCCCAGAGCTCCTTGCCTCAGAGATTCCTGCAACAGAACACAAATGTAATGCATTCTTAATTTGAACAAATGATTAAAAATGAGTTTCAAAAGTGTCCCGTTAATAAAAAGTATTTTTTATTAAAGAAACGGATCATACACATTAAAAGTGCACTTCAAAGTGTCTACTTCAAAAAAATATATAATTTATATTTTTGACAACATTTTTAAATGATGTACACATGACATGCAGATCCCAGTCTTATACAGGTAAGTGATCTAGAAAAAGTTGTATAATTCTGCATTAGGGAAATGTTTACAAACAACAGTTGTCAAGTATTATTTATGAAAATATATATGGCAGATTACGAATTGTAATCAAACTTTGATTTATAGATAAGCAAACAGTAGTTGATTGCATAGCAATAAAACTAAATAGTGTTGTCATGAGAAACCAGGCTAAAGTAAGTACAAGACATTATGGTTATGAGACTTCATGGTTATGTTTCACTTCAGTACCAAATGTGTCTCAGAAGTTTCTCCTAAAATAAAACTAGATTGACTTCTGCGTATACTTTGGTGTCTTGGCAAATTTAAGCAGTTTGAGACACAGTTGGGATTTCTTCAGAAACTCTACAGGGTACAGATGTGAGAATACACCATCTGACTTTTAAGAGCCTAATCTTACTAATTGTCCGTCTCTTTTGTTTCCCGTGTTTTTCCCTTGAATGAAAATCGACTTAGTTTCTGAAGGCCAGTCTTAAGCTTGCATTATTGAAGTGTGGTTCATTCAGGAGGCCGATCACTGTATCTGCGGCTCGGCATGGGCCGACAGATTGACTGCATCTCTTGCCTTGTCCCCACGCTCATTTTACGAATCTTTTGTTCTGACAGTGACGTTACAGTCTGGGTTACAGCAGCTGCATTGTGCTGATAGCCAAGCCATGAACATAGACTTTGCCGTTAGCATGTTGCTAAGATAAACACATGATGCTCTACAAGTACAAATATTAAAATATTTCACATTAAATATTGTGTAAAACAGACACTATTGAATTTTATGTCAAAGTGTAGAAATATTTCTGAGATGATCCAGAGAAATAGGATGCACCTGAGCTAAATTTCAAATGTTATAGCAAAGGGTTTGAATACTTATGTCATGTGATTATTTCAGTTCTGTTATTTTGTATAAAATTGCAAAGTTATCACAAATCTGGTTTTTGCTTTGCCATCATGGGAGATGGAGTGTTGATTGTGATCACTATAAATAATTTATAGAAATATAAAAATGTATTAGAAATGGAAATAATTGAACATAATAGCTATAACACAGCCCTGCATCTTGTCTTCTGATTTGCCAAAAAAGGTGTAATATTCCCTAATTTGATGAAGCTGAGTTCAAAAATATGAATAAAAACTTTTTTGAAAAACTACAAACAAACAAACAAAAAAATCACAAAATATGAAGAGTTTTTCAAATTATTTACAGTAGTCAACATTTGAAGTGGATCAAAATCTTTCATCAAAGTTAACCTAAAAGCGTTCTTGTCTTAGAACAACTTTGATTAACTTTTTTGATCCACTTCAAATGTTGACTACTGTATGTGTATTAGCTCTTATTAAAATAAAAAAAAGTGGTTGAATGTCAAAAGTTTTGAAACTGCACATCATATTTTGTGAGAAAGTGTGACGTGCTCAAGCAAAATTGGATTTCAATAAATGTTACATATTTTTGCTTATTATCTGTTGTTAGTTCACCAACATTTACTAACAATCAAACTCAAGTGAAATCAATTGCAAATTGACTGTCCCGTGAGTTTTTGCAGGAAAAATGCAGTTTGGATGATGCTCGGAATTGCTGCGTAAAGCATTTCACTTTTGATGCAGCCTTACAAAGCAAGGCAGCTTTTTTGTTCTTGTTTTGTTTCTTAAAAGAACCATTTGTGAACCTCCTGTGGAATGGAAAGGTTCCATGGAGTTTAAAGGTTCTTCATGGAACTATCAGTGCCAAATTACAAGCATATGAATTCTGACCTGGTGAAGCACGCCAGCGTCCGAGCCCCACAATTCCTGTTAGACCATACAAGCAGATCAGGATGGAGCCGATAATGACGTCAGCTCGCAGCATGTGCGAGCACTGTGGCACCTGTTGCAATCAGATCTGAAGCTGTGTAGCTCTCGCTCTCCTGTAGGTTCCCCCTGACCCCTGAGGAAGAAAGGCCAATGGAAGTTTTTTTGCTCATGGATTGCCTAAACAAAAACAGGATCTTGCCAAACTTACCCCAGTACACCCTCTGGACCTCAAGACTGGCCATAAGAAACAGTAGACACATGTCTAAAGCGAGTCGGCCATCAGGATAACTCAACACATAAGCTGTCACAAAGATAGCATAAAAAATTTGAAAGTTAGTTTAAATCCATAAACATATGCATGCATGAGCAATAGTATTAGTGATGACTGACTAACCAAATACCTCTAATGACCCCAAAAAACACTACAAAACCAGTTTTAAGGACTTAAGAGGAAGACTTTTGTAGATGATCTGGAGAGGGTGGACAGGAAGTAAAACACACTGTAAGCTGCTGAGAGATACAGCAGGATTTGGATCTTTTGGAAGACCAAACAAAGTAGTTTCGTTTTCACAACGAAGCACACAGCGTCTTCACGTCATGGCGGCGGCAACAACAATACTATAGCGAGAATAAAAGTTACACCTTCTTTCTTTGCGTGAACATTTGGGCGGCGTTATGCAAATCTTCCCACATAGTGACGTAGACATGTGGGGGCGTGTTAGAACGAGGCGTTTTAGGTAGGCGTGGCTGACTCTTACCTTTTATAAAGAATATCTCTTTGGATTTGAGATTTTAGTCTTTGCAACTTTACAGATCTTCTTTATGCACCAAGAGCTTGTAACACTCCAAAGAGAAAGGACAAATTGAAATCGCATCATATGACCCCTTTAAGGCTTAAAACATGCAAAAGCATTCTTTGGAATATCTTATAAGTACCTTATGAATATATGAATATGGGTAATTAAATGTTAGGATAATTATGGTAAATTTAATTAATTATTTATTATGGATTTTAAGATTAACAAACAGGATGCAGAAATGCTATTTAAATTTGAGTGTAGGGAAGAATGAATATTAATTGAAATGAAAAGAAATTCTGTAATATATAAATAATTATATATAACTAGTAAAACTAAATTAGCCAAAACTGGCTTTGAATACTGACTTGACAAAAACTTTTCAAGTTTTGAAAAGGCTTTTAAGTTTGAATTTTCGTGGGCCATAGATAGATAGATAGATAGATTTTTTTATTAATACTCCTAAACAACATACCTACATTAAAGGGTTAGTTCACCCAAAAATGAAAATTCTGTCATTAATTACTCAGCCTCATGTCGTTCCAAACCCGTAAGACATTCGTTCATCTTCGGAACACAAATTAAGATATTTCTGATGGAATCTGAGAGCTCTCTGACCTTCCCATAGACAGCAAGGTAACTACCACGATCAACGTCCAGAAACACAGTAAGGACATCGGTAAAATAATCCATGTGACATCAGGGGTTCAACCGTAATTTTACGAAGCTACGAGAATACTTTTGTGCGCAAAAAACAAACAAAAAACAAACACTTTATTCATCAATTCGTCTCCTCCACCCAAGCGCCATTTTGCAGAGCATC